CGTTCAGATATCATTTTTAACGTAGGTCACCTTCAACTTTTAAATATTAATTTTTGGTCCGTTCTACACAGAACGAGCTTACAGTATCTTGAAGTTTTGCAGTAGTATGCTTTGGTTTGGATTTAATTTTATTAATTATGGGATTCCAGGCAGATGGTAGCACCCAGCCATAATTTCCATTAAAATTAGGGTGTTATTTAATTTCAATAGACCCGCAAATAATCCTTGGTAGGAATCGGTGGTCTATCAAATCTGATGTAATGATTGGGACCATCTTCAACATGTTGTCATATTGCAGATTTCCCGGAGCGTCGGTACTTCACATCAGCGATATGTTCTTTCACGCGCCAAATGAGGTGAAGGATTCGGCTACATGTAAACCAACTTTTTCTTTTTTTGCTCAAATTATAAACTTTACAAAACGAAACATGGTCCCACAAAGTAGCCCAGATTTTTTTTTATAGGATAGGGTGACAAACGAGCACACAGTCCACCTGATGGTAAGTGGTTGCTGTGGCCCATAGACATCTACATCTATCCTCAATTACGAATCAAAATGCAGATGCGTTGTCACCCGTGAGGACTAAGATGGAATGCCTCGTTGCCAGTAAAAAGGGTCTCCGGTTCTCTACACTCACCATACGAAACACAGCAGCATTAAGCTACTATTTCACGCTGGTATTCTGTGAGAGCGTGGTCCTTCCCCGGTCGTGCCGACCCATTCGTGCTACAACTATACATCTAATATAACTGCGGCATGGCTCTAGCACGTATAAAATACGTATAAGATCAAATACGTATAAGATACTTTGATCCTAAGGATAGCGATCTTCATAACCCAACATGTTAGTAAAATCTACTGTTGTATTTCCGAGTCAGAGTCGTGAATACATGGACGCGTAACTCCGCTAAGCTAGCGTCTAGTATATCGTGGAGGTCAGCAGTCGAAGGAAGCGGCCGCGACGACAATCAGTCGCTTCCGTCCCGTACGTAACCAGGATAATAGCTCCCGTGACGTTGCGTTAAAAGAACCCGCGACTTAGCGCGTAATTTCCAAAGAATATTTATATAATAAGTTTTAAGTGCGTCAGATCTGAAGTTTGTCTATCTAAGAAAGAAGTCCTTTGTCGACACCATTGTTTTTGAGAAAATTGGTATTTGCTTTTAAATTCAATTAGATGACTTTATTTATTGTATCTGGTCGATTGAGCTTTTCTCGGCGGAGACTAATGACATACGTAATAAATACTCTAAAGAGTTATAAAAATAATTACCTCAGGCATGAAACTTATCTGGAAAAATTGAAAAGTAAAACATTATTTAAATACATTGCAGTATAAGCGTAGTACGCTCACAATGTCTAAATACAAAATTTCATCCAAATCGTTAGAGTCAAAGAGAAACTAATTACATACACTCGTATGTATGGCTATCTGAAATAGATAATTTTGTCGTACATTATTATATACTTCTGTGTTAAATTTCTAAGACAAAAATGTAATGTAAAACTTCTCATATAATCTTTGATTTTTGGAAAAGTAAAAAGGTGTGAGGTGTGGATTGAGTGCGGGATGGGTCACAAGCTCCACCTGTTCAGAAATGAAAAATAACTTTTTTATTGTGCGCGGTGTTCGCTGACACCTTGCCATGGTACAATAGGATGCGACTTCTAGATCGTTTTGCCTAAAAATTTTCAAAGATACTGGGCAAATAAATGACGTTGTACATAATAGGATAAGATATTTTTAATATCATTAATTAAGAAAGGGATCAGCATTGCGAATTGCATTAAATCACATTCGCTCATAAATAAGGACACGAAACAGGCAAGGTGACGAATTATTACATGTGCACATGCGCGAGGGGGCTAGTGGATGTTGTTATACGACAAATGCAATTAAGATAAAAAAGGTTTCTACAAAAGGGTTTTTTACTTACTATTTTATTTACTTATTACTTATAATATACTCACTTTACAGATAAAATCGCAATAATATAAATATTTTTGACACTATTCACTTAAGACAATATCACTTAGAGATATGCGGTACGATGTTAACTAATTTACGAACATACGATCATACAAACATATTCACATGCATATGCACGCTTGCACACACGCTGGAAGTAAAACCAAAAGTTTTTCTGATCTTTATATTTTTTTACTAGGAAAGTTGGCAAAATAGGACATAGTCTACGTAATGTAAATTAGATGCTGTGGCCACATAGGCGACACCTACATCTATCTACGATTAAGAATCATATTAAAAATAGAATTAGGATGAGAATGAAAAATGCAGATAAGGAATAAGTCAAAACGTCTCGCTACATAAATCAAATACATTAACTTTAATATTTGCATCCTTTTAGCATAACACCGTCCCATTATCCTGGCGGCAGTGCTAGAAGAATGCGCGGGCGCAGTCTGCGTGCGCCGCACTCTCACGCCGCTCTCCTCGCCAACATTGGACGAACCTCAGCACAAGTAAGCCCAAACCACTGCATGCATATAGCACATAAGCTAATCCTTGAATAGAATTATTTGTATTCGATATAGTTCGAAAAAAGAAAAAAGAAAAAAACCTCTGTCCTGCGATAAAAGCAAGAAACCCAGCTGTACATTTTTGAAACATTAATTTACAATATAAGATTTTATACAATTATTATGAAAACATTTAGAAGCAGCATGGTAGCGATTACCTTATTCCCAGCTGTTAGTAACAATCCTTACTTACCCTTACTAAACAAAATTTTGCTTGATAAAAATTTTAAACTTTTTGATAGAAAAGGCCTGCATACATATTTTCTGGGACTTTGTTATAAAAGTATACATTGTCCCATGAAGTAATTACTGACTCTCTGGAGTCAAGTAACTGGTACTTTGTAAGAAAATATTTCATTTAATTGGGGATCCATTAATTGCTACAAATACAGAGTATATTAATCCCGTTAAAAATGTAGGCTAACTTTTTACTCAGTGGTCTACCGTTCTCAATGAAGAGCATTGCTATTCTAACTTCAGCATGTCCAGCAATTCTTCGCTGGATTAGCGCTTCTCAAATTGAATATCTTTATTTACTAGAAATATTCTATTAATAAAAAAGATATTCTATTCTGATCTCATGTATCCTGTAATCTATACTGGATAATTTTTTTATCGTCTGGAAAAAATTGCGTATAAGGTGAACGGATTGGAAGCCTACGGCACTGAAATTTAACTTTTGGGTCATCACCAAAGAACCCTATTTCGCACTGCCCCGAAACCCAAAAGAAAAAAAAAAAAAAAAAAAATTTTTTATTTATTTTACATCAACATATTATCAAGATATATGAAGATAGAAGAATATTATGAAGATATATGATCTATCAATAAGTACTACTAATTGGGTACATATTATTTTAATTTCGATAGTTTTAATGGATTTATTTATTTAGTTCAAAACTTTTGTTGTTATTTTTTTAAGTATTTACCGAAAGTTTATTTCAAATTAGTAGCATTTATTGAAAGGTCAATTTATTAATATGTTAATGTAAAATAAAAAATTAGGGATGTAAAATATCGGTGCTATTGGATTCTATTCCGTTCACCTGCTATACCTTATTTTTTCCAGACGGTAAAAAAAGTCATCCGGTATATCCGCGTACCGGCAGGTGAAGTGTAGGGCGTCCCCCCACTGGATGGAAGTGACGACCTGCTAAGACATGCAAGAAGTCGATGGATACATCTAGCTCAGTACCGTGCTTTGTGGCATTCCTTGGGGGAGGCCTATGTTCGGCAGTGGACTTGTGAAGGGCTGTAATGATGATGATGTGGTCCTACCCAGGTCGAGCTGACCCAGTAGTGCAACAACCATAATTTAGCTGCATCATGACTTTGCCACTTTAAGATGTAATGTACTATACGTATAAACTTAATTTATAAATAGAAAATAAAAGTTACCGCGGAAATACTAACGAGGAAGCGATTTATTTCCACGTGGACGGAACCGCAAAAGGGAAGGAAATTTTATATTAGTTATATAAACCACATGTAACAAAAACCTTGTGGTTCCTATTATGTTATCAAAATTTTTTCAAACGTATAGAAATAAATTTACTTCATAAAACTCAACCCTATTTTTTTAAATTTAATTTAAATAAATTTTTATTTGTAAATGTTTGCGGGTTTATTACCTCTGCATTGGCCAGGGAGTAAGAGTATTGTCAAAGACCCCGCCTTACCGATGCGCGTGTCAGTTATATATAACAAGAACACATACAATCTGCAAATATATTTTTTAATTTATTGACATTTTTAGGTTCGGCAACAATTTTCTCTTGGCGTATCGAATGCTACTTGCGAATACATTAATTTCAGTTACTTCTCATCTCAGGTTACCTCATTTAGAGCCAAGCGGCATCAGAGGTGACTGAACTGAGTAAATGTTGCAGATATAGTCTCTGAAGGATGACTATATGTTTTTGCAATTTGCTGTAGTGATTATCGGTCCGTAGGGTCCATGTGCGTTGAATTTCATAAACAATTGCAATGTCGTCTAATAATAATAATAGTTAAATTAATAATAATTATAAAACGAGCACACAGCCCACCTGATTATAAGTGGATGCTGTAGCCCTTATACATTTGCATCTATCCTAAACTAAGAATCAAAAATGCAGATGCGTTGTCGCGCCTGGAATGCCTCACTTTCAGTATAAAGGATCTCTGGGTGTTCTGTGAGTCCGCTCGAGTCAACCCTTTCCTGCTACAACCATAATATTATTGCAGCGCGTCTCTACCACGTGGAAAATAGAGAGTGCACCTGTGCTTGCGCATACACTCGGGCACTATAATCCTGTCCTGCGTTGATGGCTAGTCTCCGTTGAGCTGGCCGCCGTGACCGAAATTCGGTCTGGAGGATATTATTATTACAAGAGTTATGAAATAATATTTTCACAGATATCATAGCTAGACCTCGCCAAAATTTCAACTCGAAGACAAACATTTTGAAGCCTGCAAAATGACAGTGAAGAAGCGACCCTCAGACTTATCGAGCTTGGAGCGGTTCAACCTGTACTACCGGCAGAAGGAGCCGCCGCTGACCGCGGGACAGAAGACCAAGCGTTTCATCTGGAACCCTAAGACAAAGCAGTTTTGCGGCCGGACTGCATCGAGCTGGTGTGAGTATCAAAAATTTAATATGGCAAGAAATCTTCTATAGCTTACTGATTTTAACATTGAAGTAACAAACAAACTTACGTGTCGCCTGATTACAATCAGGTGGCTACTGCTGCTCTTGGACACCTGCAACCAGCTTTGGTATAAAAAAGCATTATTAAGCATTATACTTAAGCATTATAAAGTACTTAAGCATTATATAGGATCCGGGTCTCTACACTCTCTACACGAAACACAGCAGCATTAAGCTGCTCTTTTACGCTGGTATTCTGTGAGAGCGTGGTACTTCCCCGGTCGAGTTGACCCATTCGTGCTACAATTATATAGCTGCAGCATAGCATTGTCTTAATCTTGAACTTTAATGATGATGTAACTGATTTTTTAGACTGTAATTATACTAAATATCAATATCATTCAGACCAGACCACAGAACTGCACTTTTGGCGGTACAAATAGCTAGGAGACGATACCTATACAAAATAGCTAAGTTGTGGTACCCACCGAGATGACCTAGGCAAAATTAAATCCTACCACCTAGTAAAGAAGTTAGTCAGAATTGCCAATTTATACTCGTAATATTGCAAACTAATATTTAATTTAGATTTTGTAGATAATTTGGCATTTCATTTTTTATATATTTAAACTTATTAACATTGAAAAGGTAATATACCAAAAATTAAGACGCTTTATAAAAACATTAAAATACAAAAAGAACTATGTTATATTTATAAATAAGTTTTTTGACAATTACACAACTTCTTATATAAAAGTTACAAATCACTGTCTTAAAATATCATTAAATATTATTGGTAATTGATGCCTTAATAGAAAAGTTGATTACCTTAATACATATCTAATGATTTCTTATATTTACGCGAACCGACGTTCCGAGAAGTCTGCAGTCTGTGAACATAATATTTAAGATCGACCCCACAAATACATTAGATTTGATGGATCACAAATCCTTGCAAAAGAACACCGATTCCTACCTAGGATGATTTGCGAAGCTACTGAAATTAAAAACATCCTAATTTCAATAGAGAAGATGGATGGGTACTATAACTAATAAAATTAAATCAAACCCAAGCATACCACTGCAAGAATTCAAGATATTGTAAGCTCATTCTGCGTAGATACGGATCAAAAATTAATATTCAAAAACTGAAGGTAGCCCAGCTAACTATGACATTGAGACGTCAAACACCTCAGTACCCCTCGTGATCATGGGTAACTACTGTAAAGCACCCGAAACGTCGGAATTAAAAAAGGAAAATTAGATGCGATAATATCCGTAAAGTTAGTTTTATACCAATTGAACAGTAATTTTCAGGTAGGTATAATTTTCAAGTAGATTTTAGGATAGTAATAATGAGAATTACAGCTTTGTCAGTGAAACTGTTATGATTCAGATTTTATATCTGTAAGAATTAGTTTCATTTAATACCTTAATATCTTTCAGTGATAAATATTGCATTTCAACCTATCAACTTACTAAATGTAATTTAAAAAGCTTAAGTAGAAGCTACATTCAAAATGACTGGTTCAAAATTAATTACCTACTCGTAATTCGATCTTAATACGCTTCAAAGTAATTCATTTAGAACTGAAATTGCTTTAAAAGTATTAATTATTATTTTATGTTCTTATATATAGTATACCTAGTATATTATAGTAGGTAAACGATAAATTAAATTAATTTAATTAATTTATTTAACCTTTATTATACACCTAATAGTAATAAGGGATATAAAAGGCAGACTTAATGCCTTATGGCATTCTCTGCCAGTCAACCCTAGATGATTTGAGAAACTGTGGCAGGTGTTAACAATCACTTCATATATTTAATAAATAAGTAATAAAGATATAAGATACAATAAAATGCAAATGAATAGAATTATAGTTAGTAAGAAATATACGTACTTACTTAGTATCTACTGTATAATATAGAATAAATAGTAAATATGTAAATACGTACTTCAATGTGAAACAAAATTAAAAGAAACAATACATATGAAAATACATTATACAAAAAGAAAAAAAAAACAATTGTCGGATAGTCAGGTGGTATTATTCTTACGACAGAATTCTCGAACTATTCTTGTAAAACAATTCTTGCTTCTAGTTTTCTTGATATCTACGGGTAATGTAGAGCAATATAGACTGCATAGAAAGAGGAATTAAAGGTGGTTCCTTTTATTCCTCCTTATGTGTAAAATCAGGTGTTTAAATCAATTACTTTAATCGAAATCAAGCAAGACTATGTTTTAATTTTTACCAATGTTAATAACATTCACACATCAAAATGAAATTAATTTCTTGATTTAGTTAAAATAATTATCGGCTAAATTGTATTTTAACATTTCTACCTTTTGAATGCAAAAAAAAAACTTTACTTGATGAATGATATATGGATTCATTTCTTGAGTAGTGGAAGACTACAAAATAAATTCCTAAATAATAACATAACTAATTCAATTAATTGAAAGCTCTAACAAGTTAGAGTTAGAGTTATTTCAAATTAAGCGTGAGAAAAATATTCTCTCCTTGAAGCAAATAAGGCTATCGTAGAAAAAAAATCGTAGAGAAAGCTTATTGCTCTTGCTTACATAATCATTTTCGTCAGACATACCAACATTAGGTTCTTTCTCTTTCAACTCTACAATATTTGACCTGGATTTTTGTAAGTCATAATTATGAAGCACTTGTTTAGTGCGGGATCCGAACCTGCGGTCTTGCAACGCGGAATTCAAACGTTTTGTTCACTGAACACACATAGAAACATTTTGGTCAGCTTTATCTTACACAATAGAACACATATGTTGTTTCAAAATATTTTCTATAAAATCAGTATTACAGGTTGATTTAAAATTTCATTCACAATTTGTACGTGGTAGAGCCATGCCGCAGCTATATTATGACTGTAGTACGAATGGGTCGGTTCAACTGGGAAAGGACCACGCTCTCACAGAAGACCAGCGTAAAATAGCAGCTTAATGCTGCTGTGTTTTGTATGGTGAGTGTGGAAAACCGGAGACCCATTTTTTAAACGAGTCATTCCATCGTAGTCCTCAGGGGTGACAATGCATCTGCATTTTGATTCTTAATCGAAGATAATTGTAGATTTCTATGAGCCAAAGCATCCTTCTACCATCAGGTGAACTGTGTGCTCGTTTGCCATGCCCATTCTATAAAATAAAAGAAATTTCAACATCCAATTCAAGTCGTGATATTCACCACCACCGCAAGCGATGCATTATATTTATGATGGACGGAGCTTAGATATCAAATTTTGATCGGGTGTCGAGTGTCGACGCTGTGCTTACTAGCATATTTTTAAAACGTTTAAAAATGAACCCAAAAAGGTTTAATGATGAGAAGTCATATATCGATTTTAAATATAACAATTTAGTCAAATTACCCCTATAAATTTCCAGCACTAGACTTCTACAGATTTTTGATGTTGATTATGTCTTTATACCCACATTTATCCAGTTCAAATCGGACAATTCAAGGCGCGTCAGTAATCCATTATGTTGTATCAACTCGAGTGAGTCGATTCACTGGTGTTACCAAGCTTATAGCAATAATGTTTTGAAGGTGGACCAGGCTTGAATTAGCTAAGAACCAATCAATAGTTCCGCCTGCTTCGGTCCAGGAACCGTGGTGGCTCAGACACTAAGAGCTTGTCATAAATTTCATAGTACGTGACCAACCCGAGTTTGACCCCGCAGGCAAGATGAAAATGTTAATAATGGTTTCAGTCCACCGTAACATCTTATTTTACTTGAACAGTGCTGTAAAAGCATCAGAAAAAATATACAGGCTGTCCCGTAAGTCAACGTCAAGCGGATTTGGGGCGATAAGCTAGGTTGTACCAGTTCTAGCAAAAACAATAAATCTTATCACTTGGTTAAGTAATGACATGTATACTTTTAAAAAGTTAACATTCTAAATCGCATATTTAGGTACCGTGATCACAAATTTCTAAAATTTTCAGTGTTTTTTAGAGTAATCCTAAATACTTTTAATAGCAGTCACAAATCCAATAATTAATATTTTGAGTTTAGTACAAAAAATAAGGTTTAATTAAGTCATGGTTAAAAACGTTTTAACATATAACTTGACGCCTTATCACTTAACAAACGAACATGAATTTATTTTGCTAGAACTGGTACAATCCAGCTTATCAACCCGTACCCGCTTGACGTTGAGTTTCGGGACATTCTGTATACACATGTTCGTAGTTTTATATTTATTTATATAATCCTTTATACTACCTTTATAATACCTGGTAATACCATGCTGCCAGAAATAGAAGATTTTCCTTTATTTTAATACATACTTATATGTTAATTTTTAACTATAACTTATAGCCAATTTCTATTAAGTAGTGATTAATGTTTGCGTACGCACGCTGCTACCTACCTCCTCCACATATAAAACTATTTCTCTTTCCCCAAAGATTTGCTGTAAGAGAACTATTATTAGGATTATGCTCGCCTTTAAACATCTTATTTAAATGTTTAAAATTGTTAATATATTGTATTGTGTACAATAAATAATAAAGAAAAAATACAACAGTTACTTATACGCCTGCGAAAATGTATCAACAGCGTATCTTACTCGTTCGCGTTCAGTAGCCGTAGCTTCCCCGCTCAATACTACGGCTATGATATCCATTCATAATATTGTACCTCATTTAGTTCAGAAGGATGCGCAGACCAAAGCTCTGGAGGCTCCAGTACGTATTCGGCGGATTTTTTTCTTTCACAGAAATGAGAGAAACCCTTATCACGAAAAGTATTACGCCGAAATAATGAATATTACTACCTAAAAAACTAATGATCATTGACAACTAGGCTAAGTCAAAAAATATATAAATTAAAAAAAAATATGCGCAATTAATAGTAGAAGAGGCGGAGACTTATGTCTTCAATGTCTTAAACTAAGTGTGGGCAAGATGAATTTTGCTCTGGTGACGCGTAAAAGTAGATTAGATTTC